GTCCCCGTAAGGCACAGCTGCTCCTCTCTGGAGAGGTGGGTAGGGAGGAAACCTCCGCCTCCCCCTGCCGGACGCTGCACGTCCCCGCACGGCCCCCCCTCCCTCTCCACCCTCCCTCTCACAGCCGCCGCAGGTGCCGCCGCGTGTGGTTGCGCCCCGCACGCAGCCCCGCACGTGCACGCAGCGCCGGCTCCGGGCGTCCGCCCCCCGCGGCTGCACCGCAGCTCTCTTCCCCTCCCCGCTCGGAGCGGCACAGGGCCGGCAACGTGCTCCTCTCTGGCCGGCCTGGGCTCTGCCCCGCAGCAGCCCCCAGGGAGACGGGAGACGGGACCCGTTCCGAGGGGAGCTGGGCGGGCAGCGGCTGACTGCAGGAGACGGCGCTGCCGTGCGCGGGGTGTGAGCGGCCGGGGAGGTTTGAGAGTTTCCCGCTGCCGGGCAGGGTGCAGATGGCACTGCGGGCACCTTCAGCCCCGTTAACCCGGTGACATTTTCACACTGTCAGCGCGACGAAAGGGGGGGTGGCTAAAAATAAACTGGGGCTGCGTGCGCCTTGTTCCCATAGGTTATATTTGGGAATGCCCGAGGGAGAGGTTCGCGAGCTCCCGCTGGGCTGCTTGGAAAAGCAGTGCCAGCGAGGAACGGCAGCGGACGCGCGGGCTGCAGGGCTGCTTCCTTGGAAGGGAACGGAGGGGACTGGCGGCGCCCGGGCATCGCAGGCAGCGTTCAGCCGTGCCGTGTGGGATCGCTTGCCCCGAGGCAAGCACCCGTTTGGGCACTCGAGGTGGAGCTGCAGAAGAAAGTCTTCTTCTCCTGTCTGGAAAGCATCAAGAAAACCTCAGGTGAGCTCAAGATGGAGCTCAGCCCCGAGTGAAAGTCCGTGGAAAACTTTTGGGGAGCGCTGACTCAAGGGGAGCTGGAACTCTGAAAGAAAAGATAGCTGCCTCCAGCTGAGCCCTCCGTGGGCAAAGGAATGGCTCTGCATGCTCTCTGCAACTCACATGTGGGAGTGGGAAGGAGGAGGACGATTCTGGAGCACCTCCTCTGGTATAGCACCTGGAGCATCTCTGGAGCATCTTCGCCAGCTTCATCACCTCTGGGACAACCTGCAAATCTTCAAATTGCAGAAACAATGTTCAGAGCGAGACGTTGCTTCCAAGAGGACAAATCCTACGTGTGGGATTTCTCTGAAACCCGGCAGGAACGGAAATCGAAAATGATCAAAAGATGCAAAACATGATCTGAGACAGCTGGAGGATTTGCACAAGGAGTTCGAGCTACATCTGGAAACTTATAAGAGAGGTTTATAAGAGGTCACCTGCAGGCAAGGATAAAAGGCTTCAGTGTCCAGGGAGTGCGGAATCCTCCTGGAAGGCTCCCATTTTGAAATGGCAAGACGGATCAAAGAGGTGATCAGTAGCATGACCATTGCGGACAAAAATGCTTTTCAGAAAATAAGAAGCACAAGAAAAGCTTTGGCCAACTTCTGAGCCAGGTCAAACCACAGCAAAGAGTTAAGACACTGAAAAATCACTCAGAAAAGGAAATCAAAGGCTTGTTGGTCACCACAGGAAAAAACAGCCTCCTGCTGGAAACAAGGGTTGGCCAGAACACCACCTAACACCGAGCGTTCACCACCATTTGCAGTTTGCGAAGAAGGAATCAGTCTGCCTGTCCCTGCTGGGTCTGTGTGAATGCCATCTTTTGGAGAATAATTTGGGGGGTTTGTTCAGTGCAGTCCATAACCACAGCGTGAGGGAAGGCCTCTGAGGTGCGGTGCCTAGGGGCCAGCTTGATTGCTCCAGCTTTTATGGAATTGCATGCTCGCCTTCAGGGAAGAAAAAGAAGAAAGAGATTGAATTGTCTAGACTGGGTGTGTGACATGGAATCAGACATGAAATTAGAGAGCTAGTCAACCAAGTGCTACAAAATGGGGAGAAAAGAGGTTCTAGCTGAACCAGGAGAGGATCTGCATCACTTTGCTTGAGTAACAAGGTAGTAATGAAGACTGCCACTGTACGTTGGATGTCGACTTACTCATAGATTTTCTATTACGGGATAAGCAGACTGAGACCACAGGGTAAAAAAATGACGAGAACATATAAAACCTGAGGTGAGTTGGAAGGTCTGGCTGCCCTGAAGCCTGGTAGGAGAAGCCTGGGGAGCAGGGCATGCATGTAATGAAAGCTTTCCAGCTCAGCGGCTTGTGGTGCAGAAGCTTCCTGAGCCGGAAGTGAAATCTGTGTATAACGGGAAGCCAAAGACTCTGTGAGAGGCAGCGGCACTTGACAAGGTGCTTATTCTGGTTGCAGCAGAGCATGGGGCCAGTGAGATGGTCAGTCCTGCCAGCTCAGCC